TCAATCACAGACATGAATAAATTCAAGATGCCCAACAAATCCCCTAAAAATAAATAAAGTCCACAACCAGACACCTCATGATGAAGCTACAGAATACTAATATGAGATATAAGATTTTTAACGATGGCAAAGACAAAAGATTATATTCGAAGGAGAAGGCTTGAAAGTGAGAGATGACTTCTCAACAACAACACTGGAAACCAGAGGCTAACAATCTGTCAATCTGCTGAAAAATATATATACCTACAAAAAAAAAATTTCTCAGGAATTAAGGTGAAATTAAGACATTTTTAAACAAAAAAATGTGAGAATTTGCCTCCAGTAAATTTTTATAAAAGAAACTTCAATGAATGTACTTCAGGCAGTTATGTCAGATGAAACATCTAAGGTGCAGGAGGAATGAAGGGTCAAACATAATAAATTATGCATTAAATAAAAATAACTTTGACTATATAAAATAATAATATGAATATGGCTTCATAGGATTTTTAACAAGAAGGTGGGAAATAAAGCGGTAATATGTCATGAAGCATCATTGCAGTTAAATGTTCTAAAGTCCTTGTGTTGCCTTGTAGAGGAGTGTTATGTATCAAAGTTTGATAGACTGAAGATAAATGTAGGAATTTTTAGGGTAACCACAAAATGACAGAAACTGAGTGGATATTACCCAAATCATTAGTGGGGTAACAAGAGGAAGTAATTATAAAAGATCAAAACCATTAGGTTTTTTAAAATTTTATTGTTGTTTAGCTACAGTTGTCCCATCTTTTTCCCTATTGTTCACCCCTACCCCTTCCCCCTGACTCTTACAGTCAATTACCCCATTATTAGTGTCCATGAGTCCTCTGCTCATGTTTCTTTGCTTGCCCCTCCCCTTTCTTTCCCCGATTAGACTCCCCTGACTCCCCTGTGGTCATATCAGTTTGACTCCCCTGTGGTCATATCAGTTTGTTCTTTATTCCCAAGTCTCTGGTTCTATCTTGTTCATTTGTTTTGTTAATTAGGTTCAACTTACAGGTGAGGTCCTGTGGTATTTGTCTTTCATGATCTGGCTTATTTTACTTAGCATAATCCTCTCCAGTTCCACCCATGCTGTCATGAAATGTAGCAGTTCCTTCTTTCTTTCTGCTGTGTAGTATTCCATTGTATAAATGTACCATAGCTTTTTAAAAATATATTTTATTGATTATGCTATTACAGTTGTCCCATTCCCCCCCTTCATTCCTCTCCACCCTGCACACCGCCTCCCACCCACATTCCACCCTTTTAGTTCATGTCCATGTGTCGTAAGTTCTCTGTCTTCTACATTTCCCATACTATTCTTGCCCTCCCCCGGTTTATTTTCTTCTTCCATCTATGCTACTTATTCTCTGTACCTTTCCCCCCTCTCTCCTCCTCCCATTCCCCTGTTGCTGTCCCTCCATGTGATATCTATTTCTGTGGTTCTGTTCCTGTTCTAGTTTCTTGTTTATTTTGTTTTTGTTTTAGGTGTGGTTGTTAGTGTGAGTTTGCTGTCTTTTTACTGTTCATATTTTTTATCTTCTTTTTCTTAGATAAATCCCTTTAACATTTCATATAATAAGGGCTTGGTGATAATGAACTCCTTTAACTTGACCTTATCTGAAAAGCACTTTATGTGCCCTTCCATTCTAAATGAAAGCTTTGCTGGATAGAGCAATGTTGGATGTAGGTCCTTGCCTTTCATGACTTGGAATACTTCCTTCCAGCCTCTTCTTGCCTGTATGTTCTCTTTTGAGAAATCAGCTGACTGTCTGATGGGAACTCCTTTGTAGGTGATTGTCCCCTTATCTCTTGCCGCCTCTAGAATTCTCTCCTTCATTTTAATCTTGGCTAATGTAATTATGAAGTGCCCTGGTGTGTTCCTCCTTGGGTCCAACTTCTTTGAGACTCTCTGAGCTTCCTGGACTTCCTGGAAGTCTATTTCCTTTACCAGATTGGGGAAGTTCTCCTTTATTATTTGTTCAAATAACTTTTCCACTTGTTGCTCTTCCTCTTCTCCTTCTGGTACCCCTATAATTCGGATGGTGGAATGTTTCAAGAATGTCCTGGATGTTCCTAAGCCTCTCCTCATTTTTTTGAATTCTTGTTTCTTCATTCTCTGATTGTGTATTTCTTTCTTCCTTCTGGTCCATTTCATTGATTTGAGACCCAGTTTTCTTTCCATCGCTGTTGGTTCCCTGTGCATTTTCCTTTATTTCACTTAGCATAGCCTTCATTTTTTCATCTATTTTGTGACCAAATTCAGCCAGTTCTGTGAGCATCCTGATCACCAGTGCTTTGAACTGTGCATCTGATAGGTTGGCTATCTCTTGGTCCCTTTAAAGTATTGGCTCTGAGGATTTTATTTGTTCTTCCATTTGAGCCTTTTTTTTTTTTGGTGGTTGTTTTATCACACCTGTTATGCATGAGGGGCAGAGCCTTAGGTGTTCACCAGGGTAGGGCAACCCAGTCGCTGGGCTGTGACACTGTATGTGGGGGTGGGGTTAGAGAGGGAACAATGGCTCTTGCTCTGCTCTCTGTCAGCTTTCAGCCCCTCTGCTGCTTCCCACAAACATTGGGCCCTTCTGATGCTGGTCCCTTGGGTGGGTGGGCTTGTGTACATTCTAGGACCCTGTGGGTCTCTCCAATGAACTCACCTGTGAGGCTAGGAGGCCCTCCCAGCACCTCAGCCTCCACAAGTGTTTTCAATCAGCACTTTTAGGCTTTATTTTCTGGTGCTGGGGCCCTGGGTTTCTCGGTCTGTCTCACTGCCCGTTTTCACCTGGTTTATCTGCGTGTGAATGTGTGACTGCAGACAGCCAGCTGCCTTGAGCACCTCACTGGGTCCACTCATTGCTTCCCCGCACTCATGTCCAGGATCTGTCATCACCAGAGTCTGCTAGCCTCTGCCTATGCCCTGCACGCCTGGGTCTGCCAGCCACCACTTTTTCCAGCGGCCAACTCCACACCTCTTACCAGTCTGTATGAATGGTTGTCGGGACTTCCATATGGTTCAATTTTCTGTCTGTTCTGGTCGGGTTTTTTTGTTTCTAAATTTTTGTTGTCCTTAATTTGGTTGGATGGAACCTACACTTCCATCTTGGCTGGAAGTCCTAAATGTACCATAGTTTTTTGATCCACTCCTTTACTGATGGGCACTTAGGCTGTTTTTCCACACTTGGTTATTGTAAATAACACTGCTATGAACATTGGGATGCATAAGATTTTTTGAACTGGTGATTCATAATTCTTAGGGTATACTCCTGGCAGTAGGGTAGCTGTATTGAAAAGCTATCTTTCATATTGAAAGGCACCTTTAATTTTTGAGGAAATTCCATACTGTTTTCCACAGTGGCTGCACTAGTCTGCAATTCCACCAACAGTATTACTAGGTTCCCTTTTCTCCACAACCTCACCAGCACTTGTTTGTTGATTTATTAATGATGGCCATTCTGACCAGTGTGAAGTGGTATCTCATTGTGGTTTTCATTTGCCTCTCTCTAATGGCTAGTGATATTGAGCAGTTCTTCATGTGTCTATGTGCCCTCTACATGTCCTCATTAGAGAAGTGTTTGTTCAAGTCCTTTGCCCATTTTTTTAATTGGGTTGCTTGTCTTCCTGGAGTGGAGTCAAGTGATTTCTTTATATATTCTGGAGATAAAATCTTGTATCATTGGTGTAGGGTAAATAGAGGCAGTCTGGCTTCCTTACCCAGATGTCTGGGTAACTAAAAGAAGCAATGTTCCCATATCCTTGAAGGGGTTGGATAAGCCTTAAGACTGGGTCTGATAAACTGTTCCCATAACATGAAGTGGGCTTGCATGTGCAGAATCATGCTATGTTATATAGTTTTCTGGCTTGAAGCCAGCTTTGTTTGCTTCTAATACTTAAGCAAGTATGGGTTGCTTACTAGAGACACATGCAGCTTGTGGCATGTGTGGCTTCCCCACCCATGAATAAAGGCATGTCAAGCATCCCTAAACTCCACACATTTTCTTCCATCTCCCTGAATCTAGAGTGGATCTTCCAGGCCTTGACATCCTGCAACACAATTGGCTTAGTCATCAGGATTTGCATGGTATGGAAATCGATGAGCCATCTGTATCTTCTGAAGGAAACCTCAATAGGTGTGCTGGTCCCAGGGAACTGTGGCACCAAGTAGCAAGCCTCCTGATCTCATAGGCCCCACCAAGGGAGTGGCCTGATGTCAGTGGCACACCTGACACCATGGAGAAAGCCCTACAGGAGCTTGGGGAGACCCTGTAGAAGCCCAACACCCACATGGCTGTGGGGGCTGTAGGCTGGGTGTTTCTTTCAGCTTTTTGAGCTGAGACAGGGACCACACTTCACAACACAGTGAAACTACATGAGCTCCAAGGATCAGAAGAAGCCCTGGAAGCCAGAATTGGTTCTCCAAAAGAAGATCTGCAAGAAACACAGATGTCTGTCTCCTGCTGCAGCAGACAAGTTGGAATCAGAGGAAAATGACATTGATGCAGAACCGTGTTCTCAGAAGGCCCGCCCCCATAGTGTTACAAAAAACGAAGTCCCAACATCCCATGGCACCTGGGGGAAACCTTGTGGGTCCCACTCAGATGGTAGAACATACTGCTTTAGACACTATATGCAGGACAAGCTTGTCAACCTCGAGAATTAGTTTCGCCAGAGACACGCGAAGCCCTTAGCTGTATGGCTCTTGTGACTGTGGGACCTAGGAGTGGATAGTATCATGTGCTCCTACACTGAGATGGAAAATTTACCACCCCCACAATGGGTAATGGCAGTGAAACAATACCAGTTGCCCAGAGGATGTGAGGAAATCATAGCTACTATAGGGAAGGTAGAGAAATTGGGCATAATTGGGGCTTCCCACAGTCCTTTAATTCTCCAGTGTGGCCAATAAAAAAGCCATCATGACACACCTCTCCCTGTGCCAGTAGCTGCAGAATAGCCAGAAGCACACTGAGGGGCAGGGCTCACATTCTTTGATGGAGTGGCTAATGGCAGCTATCCGTGCTGTCTGGGAAAATGCAGGTGTCAAGCAAGATACTGTGAGCAAGTGGCAGTCCTTTACAGACTTAGAGAAAATCTTGTGGGAGTTGGGCATGCATCAGGCCATGTTCAATCCCAGTACACAGGGCCTTGATGATGAGTGTTTTACATTTGGAATGAGGGATCTTGTGCTCCAGCATGCTCCCTCTACCTCTTTTGGCTCACCGATTGCAATTCTCACAATGTGTCAGTCATCACACAAATGGTATCACAACAATGGTGGCTAGCCTGGGAGAGGTGGAGTCTCACCACCAACAGAAAGCTATTTGTACAGTCTCTCAGAGTCCCCAGTCGAACAGCAGTCTCATGTGGGTGACTAGAGCACAGATGTGGTCAGATATTTTAGGGCACAGGTGGCAAACACAAGGCCCATGCTGAATCCAGCCTTCCACCTGGTTTTATCTGGCCTGGCACCTTATTTCTACCCAGTGGCAGCACCAAGCTCCTTGCCCCTGGTTAAGGAGTAGTTATATTTATAGTCCTAAAATTACATTTGACCCTTGAAGACAACTGTGAGACTGATGTGGCCCCCAGTGAAAATGAGTGTGACACCTCTGTTTTAGGACCTGGAGTCAATGGCACTAAGATTGACAGGAAGCCAAACTCTACCTGTTAGAGCACTGGAAACAGCTTCGAGCTGACAAATGCTTCTTGTGGCCCCAAAGAAGAAGAAACTGATGGGAAAATCTACATGTGCACCCCGAGAGCTCCAAGAAGCCCATTTGGTCTGGCTGGAAGATCATCTGGCTGTGTCAACCTCCTGAGATCAGGGAGAAGATATCCTTTGACATTTGGCTAGGAACAAAGCCAAGGGACCCATCTTCAGAGGACAGGAGGCTGCATGATGAACTGGCTATTCATTGGTCACCTGTAAATGTCCAGTGAGTGTTAGCTCTTGTGGATACAGAAGCTGAATGTACTCTCTTATATGTAAATCCTGAGAAATTTCCAGGGCCAAAGGTCTCTATTGATGGTTATGGGGGACAAAGTATAAGGGTGAAGGCTGTGAAGCTCTCCCTGGATATCAGATATCTGCCCCCCCCCCATGAATACATAGTCTGTGTCTCCCCCACCCCTGAGTATATCCTGGGTATTAACGTACTGCAGGGTTTGTGGTTACCTATGACCACAGGAGAGTTTCACTTGCAGATGCGAGTGGTAAAAAACATTTTGTGGGGACATGCTAACCATTCCCCTGTGCAATTGCCACCCCCACAATGGGTAATGGCAGTGAAACAATACCAGTTGCCCAGAGGATGTGAGGAAATCATAGCTACTATAGGGAAGGTAGAGAAATTGGGCATAATTGGGGCTTCCCACAGTCCTTTAATTCTCCGATGTGGCGAGTAAAAAAGCCAGATGGTACATGGAGAATGATGGTTGATTACTGGAACCTCAATAAGTTCATTCCTCCACTACATGCAGCAGTGCTTTCTGTGATAGATTTAATGAACGAGTTAACTAATGAGCTTTGAACTTAACTACTTTGCAGCTGATCTAGAAAATGCCTTTTTCTCCACTGACCTTGCTCCAGAGAGTCAGGATCAGTTTGCCTTCACATGGGAAGGCCAACAGTGGACCTTTACAGTATTCGCTCAAGGGTATTTGCACAACCTGACTATCTGTCACAGACCTGTGGCAGATGACCTGGCTAAGTGGCCACAACCTCCAGAGGTAAGCCTATGTCATTACATTGATAACATTTTGCTAACTAGTGATTTTCTTGCAGAATTAAAGAAGACAGTGACTCAAATGTCTCATTTGAAGTCATGTGGCTGGGTAGTCAATGAAACCAAGCTTCAAGGACCTGGATTGTATGTCAAATTCTTGGGGGTTTTCTGGTAGGGTAAGACAACAGTAATCTCTGATGAGGTGATAGATAAGATTCAGGAACATCCAACCCCTACCACTATAAAACAGCTCCAGACATTTTTGTGCCTGTTGGGATATCAGAGAGCATGTGCTCCATCTAGCCCAAGTCATTCATCTCTTGTATTCTTTGGTGAAAAAGGAAGTGAACTGGGACTGGACCTCAATCTCGGAAAAGGTGTTCCAAGGAACAAAGCATATCATTAAGTGTGCCCAGAACTTGCATGCTCTGGATCCTGCTAGACCCTCTAAACCAGGTGTGCATGTGACACAGGGAGGCTTTGGATGGGGTTTGTGGCAGTAATCAGAATGGCTACATCGACCCTTGTGTTTCTGGTCCCAACTATGGAAGTGAGCAGAGGTACTGTACTCCTTCCTTGAAAAGCAGTTGGCTGCAGTATATGCCGCCCTATTGGCCATGGAGGCCATAAAGGGAACTGTCCCCATGACAGTAAGGACCATGTATCCCATTGCAGGATGGGTCCAGGACTGGATGGCCAAGCCTCATAGTGGGACAGCACAGATGCCCACATTGGCTAAGTGGGGGGCTTATCTGCAGCAAAGGAGTACTCTGTCTACTAGCCACTTATGGGCTGAGCTACAAGAAGTGTTAGGCCCTGCTATTTATGTGGATGAGAGATCTACTGCTCCTGTCCATATAGAAGAAATAGGAGCTAGTCCCTTCTACAAAGAGCAAGCACATATTCCCTCAGATGGATGTGCTTGCACGTATTCCCTCAGATGGATGTGCTTTCTCTACTGATGGGTCCAGCAGGGGCCATCCTGCCATCTGGACCACCATGGCAATGCAGTCAGAGACAGACACAATCTGGTTTGGTACTGGAATGGGATAGAACAGCCAGTGGGTGGAACTCAGAGCTGTATGGCTCATGGCTGCCAATGGAGCCCTGCCCTTGACTATTTGCACAGAGGGTTGGACAATGTACCAGGGGCTAACATTATGGATCTCTACATGACATACAAATAAATGGATGGTTATGCATAGGCCATTGTGGGGATAGGCTTTGTGGCAAGACTTATGATAGTTAGGCCACCAGAAACAAATTACTGTATATCATGTTACTAGACATGCCCCTCTTGCTTCCCCTGGGAATGATGAGGCTGATAATCTAGCCAAGGTGTGTTGGCTAGAAATGGTGCCTGCCAGTTCCTCAGGAAGGGAAGTGGCTCAGTGGCTACACCACCACATGGAAGTGGCAAAAGACCATGTGGTCCACCATCAAAACTTGGAAGTTATCTGTCACTTTGGCAGAGGTACAAGAATCTTGTAATACCTGTGTTGTCTGCTCGTGAGAGCATCCCTCAAGGCCTGTGGGAACTACTGAACAAGTGGTGAGGGGACAGGTACTGCTGACTCCAAGGAAGGTGGATGTAATCAGGCCCCTACCTAGTTCAAAGGGATATAAGTATGCTATTACATCTGTGGATATGGCCACAAGACTTTTAGGTGCTTATCCTGGATGGCACCCAGATCAGAGAGCAATAATCACTGCTGTAGCAGTTATGTGCTGCTTATGGGAACCCTTAGTCATTTAAAGTGATCAGGGGACACATTTTACTAGTACCTTTGTACAATGGGCTCCAGACTTGCAGATTGGAAATTCTATGTGGCCTATCATTCCCAAGCTGCTGGAATGTTTGAATGGTACAATGGTCTCTTAAAGCAGGGCCTATGAGCAGCAGCTGCCACCCCTACACTGAAAAGATGGACAAAATGCTTATGGGCTGTCTTCCAGACTTTAAATGAGAGGAGTCGGAGTGGGTGCCTGGCTCCAGTGGAAGCACTGTTCCACTGGATGCAGCTCCAATTCAGCTGCAGGTGCACACTAAGGATGTTTTGCTGAAACCTGGCATGGGAAAACAGGGAAATAGTCTCTTGCCCATTCCTGAGGGCCTGTAGTGAGGACAAACAGCCACTTGGATGTGGTCTTGGGAAACAAAAGACCCTCACATACTGGGTAGCTCTTGCTGCCCGTTGGGGCCAAGGGGTAGAAAGTTACAAATAGTGCCCTGGGTGATTGGGACATGGCCTCCAGTCTTAAAGGTGACATATCCAGGGCCAGCAGACCTTGCACTGTTTCTTCGTGGCCCCTTTGTGATTTCCCTATGACCCATTATGAGTTCTCCCCTGTTATTGCAAGTAGATGCTGAACCCCCAGCTGAGGCATGAAAAGTCTGGTATTCATAACCAGGAAGACCTCCTCTGCCAGTCACTGTTCTATCTACTGACCAGAAGCTTCATTGTGTATGGCCTGAGGGTCGTGGCTTGCTTCTACTTGTGCCTATATCTGCTCTGTCTTTTCTCCCTTAGAGTGCAAAGTGACACCTTAGTGGACTGGATTCATACCTATAACTCAGTGGCTAACCAATCAGCATGCTGGGTCTGCACTGAACTCCCCTTGAGCATGTTGGCCAGCTTCCCATGGCACATCTCTCCTGCTTCTCTCTCATACTGGACTTGGCTTCAGAAGTAGTGGAACAGTGAACATCCCTTGTGGAATGCTACCTGGACTGACATCTATGATGGAGTGAAGCAGTGGTATGACTGGCCCAAGCTGTTAAATATCTATTCCATACAGGACAGCTTGTGGTAGCTCACAGTTAAGGCTGTGGAGCTGGATGGACAAGCTCCCCTTTGTGTTGAGAACCTCGAAGGACAAGCCCAGGTGAGCTGGACTCCAACAGGTGTGTGTCACACTCAGACTCCAGAGCATTTCTGGGAGGCACAGGATGATGGACAGGCTGCAGTTCCTACTGGAACCCTCAGGGTGTGTGGCCCACATGGGTGACCTTACCTGCCTGGAAATTGGACTGGCCAATATATTTGGGGATGGCCCTATTTGCCTGCTTGAGTTCAGAAAACTCTTGTAAGCCAACCATCAAATTGAGAAGCATTTAAAGCACGACACTGGGTAAAGCATACTCCCTGGTGGTATTACCCATTAGGTGTTTTTTCTCCTCAAACTGCTTCTAAGGTCACTGAAACTGAGATAACTGCTTTGGCTTTGCCCACTGCTGTGCAGTGAATATAACACATGATTCCTTAATCCTGTTAAATGAGAAAGTGTATCAAGAAAAGTAGCTTTGTAAAATCATATGGCTTTAGATATGCTTACTGCGTCCCAAGGTGAGGTATGTGCCCTAGTAGGGACAAAATGCTGTGTAAATGTTCCTAATGTCCACCACAATGTTAGTCAAGCTTTATGAGTATTAACCTCTGAGACCCATGACATTGAACGTCTAACAGGCGATCTTTTGCAGGAGTGGTGAGCATCTATAACCAGTGAATGGTGGTGGGTTCTTGCTGTCCTTCTTGTGGTTTATAGGTGCAGGGTTCTGCCTTCCTCACCAAGGGAACCTTGCAGAAGACACCCTCATATAGATTGTGCAGTGAGGAACCAAAAAGTGGTAGATTGTAGGGTAAATGGAGGCAGTCTGGCTTCCTCACCCAGATGTCTCGGTAACTAAGGGAAGTAGTGTTCCCATAACCTTGAAGGGGCCTGATAAATGGTGTCCTCACAGTGTTGAGACTGAGTCCAATAAACTGTTCCCATAACATGAAGTGGGCTCACATGTGCAAAATCATGCTATGTTTTACGATTTTCTGGCTTGAAGCTGATTTTGTGAGCCTCTAGTACTTAAGCAAGTAGGGGGTTCACACTAGTGGGACATGCAGCTTGCAGCTTGTGTGGCTTGACTACCAATGAATAAAGGCATGTCAAATGATCCTAGGGTCCACACATTTTCTTCCATCTCCCTGAATCTAAAGTGGACCTGCCAGGCCTTGACAGGCTACAACACAATTGTTCCCACACAGTTTGTTCCCTTTCCATTTTGTTGATGTTTTCTGTAACCACTCAGAAGCCTTTTAGTTTGATGTAGTCCCATTTGTTTATTCTTTCATTATCTTTTTAAAAAGATAATAAGGTACATTGGTGTATCATGAAGGAAGGGTGAGGAGAGTAGTTAGCTTCTTATAATAAGAGAGGTGAATCAACTTTAAATAATTAAAAATAGATTAAAATGGAATTCTACACAGCAGATAGAAAGAAGTAGCTCCTACCCTTTGCAACAGCATGGATGGAACTGAAGAGCATTATGCTAAGTGAAATAAGTCATGCAGTGAGGGACAAACACCATATGATCTCACCTTTAACTGAAACATAATCAACAAAAGAAATATAACCAGAGTCATTGCAAATAAGAACAATCTAACAATAGCCAGAGAGGAGCAGGGAGGAGACAGAGGGGAGAAGGGTTTTAAGGAACTACTATAAAGGACACATGGACAAAACCAAGAGAAAGGGTGGAAGCAAGGGAGGGAGGTGGGTTTGGCTGGGGTGGGGGTGGAGTGGTGGGGAGAAAATGCAGATAACTGTAATTGAACAACAATAAAGTAATTTTTTAAAATTGAGTCTGCTTTTTATTATCACCATACACTTTCAATGTTAAATAATAATCTACAAAAAATTCCTCACCACTACAGTAGACTCTTCCATTCACTCTCCTTCTGGGGAAAAGAGAAAAAGGCAGAACAAAGAGAAAGCATAACATAAAATTGTACATTAAAACTAATATATTGGGATACCCTTGAGAGAAGATGGCAGCAAGATAAGTGGGAGCAGAGTCCGCTTCCCCCTGTACACAGGTGAAACACTTAGCTGATCTTTTGAGGAACAGAGAGAACAGCCAATGGTATTCCAGCATATATGAACATTGGAGACCAAGAATTGTAGAGGACATTGAAAAATCAGATGGTAATGAGAGTGCTTAAGGACAATAAA